TTTAATGTATTGGTAATTGAATTTATCCATTTACTTGGAATTAATTCATAATCAGACTTAATTATTGTTGAGTCGGTACTCTTGATAATTCCTTTATCAATGTCAACAAAAACAATAATATCAAATAAATCTATAATTTCCATAATTGATGGATCTACTCCAATAATAAATGGTGTTGGTGTTTCTGTTAATTCAGTATATTTGATTGGAAGAAATGGAACAAGTAAATGTTGCCATTTTAAAGGTGAAAATATTTCTAATAATGAAACAATAAATTCTGATATTTTTTGTGCTGAATTTGATTGAATAATAATTCTTCTTTCATTTAATATTGATGAAAATAACATCATTAGTTGAGTTATAGGAAGACAAAGTAACGATGAAAGACATCCAGAAGAAGGTTGGTTTATTTGTTGTGGTAAGTGAGAATGAAATGAAAATAAAGGATAATTTAATTGGTTTAATGTTGGTAGTGGAATTAAATGATGGAGTGAAGATAAGAACAAAACTCTTTGAGGTGAAGGGAGTTGAATGAGATGAAGGAGAATATTTATGAATAATGACCAATGGAGATACTGTGAAGTAAGAATAAATGTACATTCATCTGTTTGTTTTACATAACAAAACATTTGTTGTTGAGAATCTATACAAAGAAATGAACTATGAAGATAAGATGGTGCAATAGGAAAAAAGAATCTAAAGAAATTTTTATCTATTTGGTGTTTAAAAGGAAAACTTTGAATAGGAAGTTCTGTGTGATTGTCAATTTCAAAGAATGAGACAACCAATGGATATTCTTGATTCATTAATTTCTATAAAATGAAAATTTAGTTTTTTTTTGTTTTTTTATTTTATGTTTTTTTTTTGTTTTCTTTGTTTTCTTTGTTTTCTTTGTTTTCTTTGTTTTCTTTCTTTTAATTTTGAATGTTTAAATTCAATTATTACTTCATAAATTATTCTAAATTATATTACTTTTATGTAATTTATTTCTTATTCAATTTTATTGAAAAATAGAGTTTATTTAATAATGAACTATTAATTGTTCTTGAAACAAATACATTTGAAGATATTTATTGAATATTTTTCTTTTTTTTCATATCGTTTTTATTATCATTTTCTTCTTTCTTC